AAAATACCCCTAAAATTTACGGGGTATTTTGATTAATTTATATTTTGTGAATTATTTTTTTTCATTTTTTTTTTAAGTGCGTCTCATTAAGATGTACACATGCTCCAAATTTCAGATAATTCCGATTGGTAAAAAAAAAAAAAATTGAAAATTGAAACACTACCGGATAACTTTGACCGTGTGATGAAGTTTGGATGGTGATGAGGGTAGACGAAATCATTGTTCATTTTCACCTATTGATATTTTGTAGTATCTTCATATATATATATATATATATATATATATGTATTTATATTATATATTACATTTAAGAAAATACTTTAACAATGGATTAGCATTAAAAAAAATACCCATAGGATTCCTCCCATAAAATAGGCGAGGTAAATGAGGAGTCATGGCAACATGTGCTAGCAGGTGAATGGCATGGTAATCTAGAGATGAATTAAGTGAGGCTTAATTATACATGTATGGGACAAAACTTTGGTATAGTTTCCCCTTATAAAATGAAGATTTGTATATATAAGTAAGCTTTAAATGCTCACTTTTATGTACTCTAGAATCTCATAAAATATGGTCAAAACATACTCATAGAAACCAAAATAAATCTATATGGGATTTGTATATATAAATAAGCTTTAAATGCTCACTTTTATGTACTCTAGAATCTCATAAAATATGGTCAAAACATACTCATAAAAACCAAAATAAATCTATACGAAATTGATGAAAGGAAGCCAAGCATGAGATGAATTTGAAACGAAGCAAGCCAGAGGCATGGGTGGACTGTTACCTTCTTGTAAATGACTCCAAAAAGGTTAGTAAAGGCAGTCAAGTTGGAGCTTGGGGGTTATAGGTGTTTCATCCATGACATAGGCTCCATTGTAGAAGCAGGAAAAAGAAGATCACCATGTGGGGTGCGTGCCATCTACCATAGTACTCTCTCTCTTTCTCTCTCTCGGGCCCAATGCGTGGGCTTCTCCTAGTCTCTATTGGGTTTTGAGGTGCGTTCAAATGAGAGATTAGGGTGGCCAAAATTTTCTATCATGTAAGAGAGAAAATGTGTGAGCACTTTAACATACATTTGATATGAGCCAATGATGTGGGATATTTGCAGTGTGTGAGATATTTTGACCTGCCTACCATATATCTATCATGATAATGGGTATTGGTTTTGTCACCTCACCCACATAATCCAAGTTTAATTTTCAAATTTCCCCTCACAATTTTCATTTTTCATTTTTCAAATTTCAAAATTCATTTAAAACTATTTACATAAAACTCTATGGTTTTGAATAATTGTGTAAAAAATAAAATTAAGAAAGGGGTCTGCCGCTTAATTCTCTATATTTTTTTTTTCACTCTAAATTTCAAATTTCAAATTTCAAACTTGCTCCTTGTTCTCATTAGATGTCACTTTTCACACACTGGGTGTCCTATTTCACACACTTGTATCATATGATTACACATGTGACTTATCGAAGATCAGCACAGTATGAAAAACTTTTTAGCTTCAAAATCTCATTGGACAAAATTCTTAAAATAAATAAAAATACCAACTACTATGTATGTGTTTATTAAGGACTCATATTAAGCCCTCATAGCATCCATCAAACTATTCGCTCCATGTAACCAATAGCTTCTTTAAAGTTATAGGGGGCATGCCTTAGTTTGTTACAGAAGACAATCATGTAATAACTATGCTTTTTACCCTCCCAGATGCTTCATCTAGGTTCCTTAAGTTTATGATTAGTATCAGCTTAAAAGAGCTCCTGACATCAATTATGTAGAGGCTTTATGATTCCTTTAGCTCACTTTCTTCTAGAATTCTAACTTATATGACCTTTGGTATTTCAAATTCTTCAAAGAAGTGAGCTTCTTTATTCTCACTAATTTCTTTAATTGCATCATTATAAAATTTATATCTTTCATAATCATTTTGAGTACCCAACTAATATGACCTTGACTAGGGTCCTAGTTTACAAGGAATATGAAAATGTGCCAAAACCCCATGAACATGGGCTACGCTGAGTTTCTTACCAAGGAATGACTCAAAAGGTGTTATATTGGGAATTTGCCTAAAATCTGTGCTTAAAAGATTTGATATTTGAGTTTCTTACCATGCTAACTCAAAAGGTGTTATATTGGTGATTTGCGCAAAACCTGTTCTTAAAAGAATCATGAGAAGACATACTCCAGTGACTAGCTAAGCATAAATCAAAGAACCAAATTTACTTCAATCATTTAGGATCCGAAGCTTTCCAATAAAGTACATGTTCGACGAGGAGTTCCAAGGATCAGCAGCTCACTTCTTTCATTTACATTCAAGTTTGTTTTGTACAAACATGAAAAACCCTTGAGAAATGGATCTAATTACACAATGGACTCAAACAGGAATTAAGTACTTGGGACTAAACTCACCCAGTGAAAATATGAGCCAGTTGGGTCTTCATCGCAGTTGTTAAGTGACCAATGCTTAGTGCTTCTCTCTTCTATGGGTTAGCCCAGTGTTGTGCCACAAATTCTCTCTCTCAGGGTCAATTCATTCCCAAAAGAGTAAAAAAGATCCCGCTCTCATAAATTACAGGTTTCGGTTTTTGACCATGGTTTCTAGGTTTCGTGCCATCATCAAGAACCGAGGTGAAATTCAACCTTCTTCCATTGTCTTTTGAAGTCCATGATTTTGGTCTTGTGGGCTAATTGAGCCCATTTTATGCTTTGAAGAGAGTTTTGTACTCATTTGAGCACAACTTATGGAGGGGGCCAATTCTGTTCATGGTTAACTGATACAAAATAGTATAGGTACTTTTCAGTGTCTAATTTATTGGGAATTTTATATGGGAGGCTTTGGGGCATCTTTTATTCATCATGCCTTCACCATATGGCATTTGGGGTTGTCCAAGGCAGACATGAGTTTTGGGATCCAATTATGTAGGTTACTCCTTGTTAAAACTTAATCTCACAAAACACGCCGAAACAATTAGTTGATTTGAAAGGCACTCGATTCAATATATAATTTGCTACCCTAATAGCTTCATCCCAGAAATAATACTCCACACCTGCTTGTTATATAATATAATTGACCCTGTCAATTAGGTTCCTATTCTTTTTCTCAGCCATGCCATTGAGGGGTACAAGGTCAAGAGGTTTGCCTGATTATTATACTGTCACTATAAAACTCCTTGAACTCATTTGACGTATATTCTTATCCTCGATCACTTCTAAGTTTTGTATTTTTTTTATTTAATTGACTTTCAACTTCTAAATTAAATGTTATTTAAATTTATTTGATGTTCGATCTTTGCTGATTATTAAATAAGTATATAAATGCCTAGAATGAATCATCTATAAAAGCAATGAAATATTCACTTCGACCATGGCTTCTGTATTTTCATTTATCACATATATGGGTATTCATATTTTGAAGTAAGATTGTGTCTTTTTAACCTTAGAAAATAGTGTTCTAGGGAGAGAAAATAGGTTCATTGATCATTGGGCTCATCAAAATCTTAAAGCCTTTTACATGAAATTCAATATGATGAGCATGCCTGCTACCTTTAGTAAACCCCTTTGCAATTGTGAAACTCATTTATTTGAAAAACGTGCACAGTTTGAGTCAAATTTAATAAAAAGGAACTATTTCTTGACTAAAATCATATTTTCAAGGCTTTATTCCGGACCGGATACTGGACCGTTGATCCAACTGGTTGAACTATCGATAGGCTCCTTGTCTAGCATAGTTATCATTAGATTGGCAGAAAATATTATGCTTAGTTTCGGTTGGATCTTTCAAGTGTTTTCTATTATTTATTTATTCATTTATTTGTGCTCCTTCTTGATTTTATTTCTCTTTTCACTCTTACCTACTTACTAAGTATCGCATGTGATATAATCTCTCTGTCAACAGTTCGTGGTTCACCATTTTCCATACCCTGTTCATCTCTGTTACAAATTTCAGTCAATCTCTTCAAATCCCTGTGGTGCATTCATACCCTATCAGTGGAATGAAACAACTCAATCCCTTCAAAATGCCTTGGAAGCATTTCAACCTCCTCTTGCTGCTGCAATATCTTCTCTTCCATCCTTCTCCTACCCAATTCTACAAAATTATTGTGTTGTTAAGTTGATACCTCTACACGTTATTTTATTGGGTAGGTAACCCATATATCATTTATTCAATAGGACAAAAATAAAGAAAAGTTCATATAAAGTTCAGGCTCTAAATAATTAAATTATGACGTACCTCAAAAAGATCACTTGAAGAAGGTCCCCAATTACCAAAAAACAACGACATGGGTATTTTTAAAGATACTTTTTGATGAACGACATATGTGAATTGAAAATTAAAACGCAAAACCTTTGTAACTTGTAAGGGATTTTACTCGCACGATAATTTCATATGCTTTCGGGAGTACAGCCACTCCTCCAAACAAGTCCTAAACACCTCCAGATGTGGAGGTGGGTCCAATTCGAAAGGATTTTGATGACGTGGACATCCGACTGAGCAATTCATGCGGTGGCCGTGGCCACCTCACCCTCTTCTCCTGCAACAAAAATTCCGCCCCCTTCTCTCTTTCTCTCTCCTCTCTCTTCTTTCTCTCTCCGAGAGAGCTTTTGCGTCGTTGTGAACTCCGCCTACTTTCGATGACACCGAGAACAAATCACCCACCTTAATTCCCCCTCTTTAATTTAATTTAATATCATGCCCCTTCCATTTCATTCTCATTGACTCAAACGGTTCTCTTTCTCTCTCTAACATACAGTTGCAGTCCCTGCTTCTCTCTCTAACTAACAATAACAGTCGAACCAGAGTTTCTCTCTCTCCCATGGCAACCTCACTCCCGTCTTCTGCATTCGTGGGATGCCCTAGCTCTCTAAAACCCCCGTCCCATCTACATCTCTGCAAATCCCATCCCAATGCCCTAACTATCAATGCCAAGATCAGAGAGATATTCATGCCAGCTCTGAGCTCCACCATGACTGAAGGCAAGATCGTCTCTTGGATCAAGTCGGAGGGCGAAAAATTGCAGAAAGGAGAGAGTGTGGTTGTTGTCGAATCTGATAAGGCAGACATGGATGTCGAGACCTTTTATGATGGTTACCTGGCTGCAATCATGGTGGAAGATGGAGGAGTAGCAGCAGTGGGATCAGCCATTGCCCTCCTTGCTGAAACAGAGGAGGAAATTCCAGAGGCCAAGTCGAAGGCGTCAGGTTCTACGGGTAAAACTGTGATCGATCAGGTGCCTTCCCCTCAATCTGAGAAGAAAACCTTAATTGACCAGCCTCCTGTGGTTCAATCTGAGACCCTAATTGATAAGGCTAATTCATCGCCAGCAGTTAGTGTGAGCTCTGAGCATCCAGCTTCAGAAGGGGGAAAAAGAGTGGTGGCGACTCCTTATGCAAAGAAGTTGGCAAAGGAGTTGAAGGTGGAGCTTGGATCCATTACTGGGAGTGGACCAATGGGGAGAATTGTTGCTAAAGATGTTGAAGAAGCTGCTTCTTCTTCCTCCTCCTCTTCTTCTGCTGCTCCTGTGCCTGTCATTTCTCAGGCTAAGCCTGCAACTTCTTCTTTTGCTTCTCAAGCTAGTGTGGTCGGAGGAACGAGTGCTGTGTTCACAACGATGCAGGGGGCGGTGAGTAGGAACATGATGGAGAGCCTCTCGGTTCCTGCTTTTAGGGTTGGATATACCATTACCACTGATGCCCTAGATGCTCTCTACAAGAAGGTAGGATCCTCTCTCTCTCTCTCTCTCGAGAATTCATCTATTGTAAGTTTCAAGTACTTGCAGAATGTCTTTCTTTATAGTTGGTCAAGATTGGAAAGATGCATTTGGTCATGAGGATTTTGTGGACAATCATCCATCGCCATTACCTACTCTGCAATATTGATCTATTGGTTTTTTTCAAATGGGACTGGTTTATTAGCTTAATGTTGATTGGTAGCATTTGTTGATATTGGTAATTGCATTGTTATTGGTATGAATACTATTTTGTTATTAATTGATTACGTGTCCAGGAGTGTAATGGCAGTAGGCTTTGTATTTCAATTACTACATCAGGGGTGACTTCTCATAATCAGATTTTCAGTTATTTTTTACAATCATCTTGATTGTTCATGTTGTTAGTTTTACTGTTAATATAGTCCCTAGGTAGTCATTATTAACCACACTGTAGAATGCAACCTTATTGTCGGTTTGATGCTCTTTCATGGTATGTCTGATTGTTCAGGAGTCTGTTTCTGGGATGTGGTCTTATTCTTCTTTCAATTGTATTCTTGATTGGTCTATTTATGAAATTCTGTCAGATAATTTTGTTAGATAGAAGTCAGTCTATGTGAAGTGATTATTCTATACAATTCTATTTGATGATTCTATTTGATTTGTGAAAATCTGTGAAATGGGGTTGTTAGCTGATATTTTACATTGCTTAATATTTATCCCAAAGAGTTTCCTTTGGTGGTAGATCAAATCTAAAGGAGTAACCATGACAGCATTGGTCGCAAAGGCTACTGCTCTTGCATTGGTGAAACACCCAGTTGTCAACGCCAGCTGCAAAGATGGAAAGAGTTTCACCTACAACAACAACATCAATATTGCTGTGGCAGTGGCTATGGATGGTGGATTGATCACTCCAGTTCTTCAGGATGCTGACAAGGTATTCAAATTTCATAGCCATCCTATATCAGCATTGCACTTTTATAGTGATGATTTTTTATTATGATTGCTTTCTGTGAATCTAATAATCAGATAATCTATGTCGTGACATGGTTTTTTTTCCGCAATTGCATTTTTTTCAATGTGGGGGTTTGTTCTGCTTTTCTGCTAGATTGATATCTACACGCTGTCGAGGAAATGGAAAGAGCTGGTTGATAAGGCCCGTGCAAAACTGCTTCAACCTCAAGAATATAGCACAGGTATATTAATGGTCCCTAAGTACTGGTCTCATTGTTTATCTTACAAACAATTATTGTTGTTGGTGTTGTTGGTTACGTTTGCCTTCTTGTTCACCTCATTTCATTTTTTGCTAGTACTTCGACATATATAAATAGTTTTTGGTGGAGTTTGTACACTGGAGTCATCTTTGGTTAACTCTTACCCCAGAAAATAGTTAGTACTACCTTGTAAAGAATTTTATAGAGATATATTATCATGAGAAAAAATGCTATCTATAGATCTGTTGAAAACGATGGATATCAAGAGAGGAACCATCTCTACCTTACACAAACTGATTTACATAATTACATTTTTCACTAAATATACAAGTACAGGTGCATGAAGTATGGAACCATTGGTGCATGAAATTGAGGCTATGTTGCATGAATGCGGGTGTGGTTGTCACCGTTAGATATGGGTATAGGGTGTCGATTATATATATAGCCATAGATTAGCCACTATGCTAATACCGTGGAATGCCATCCCTCACCCTACCCTTGGGAAGAAAATGATGCTAAGATTATTTGTTTAATATACTTTTTTTGCAAACACATCCTATTGACCTTAGCAAACACCCCCATGAAACATCGAGAGAGGAAACGTAAAAACATTTCTGAGGAAAAAGAAGCTTCATTTGACATGAGCCACAGGTGTAGTGTTGGATCTAGGGTTAGATGTGCTCAGAATCAATTTTTGTAAGTTTTTTTATTAAGTGTATTGAAGTCCATTCCCAAAATTTGGGGTCTAATGAACCCTGTTTGGACATCTATTTGAGGATGATGCCAGTGGGACATATGGGAAAATGGATGTATAACAAGATGAGGAGCATGATTAAATCCTAGTGATTTCCACGAGTGTTCTGCTGCTAAAAAATGCAGAAGTCTGATGCACATAATAGTCATACAAGAACAAATGGAGAATCCAAGCATCCAGCAAAGTTATAGTGAACGAACTCATGAGTATTTGACTGTGGCAGATGTAGAATATATTAAGGTTTATGAAATAGAGGTTTGATTTTGAGATGTTTTACCCTTTCTCTATGCCTAGGTAAAGAAAAATACCCTCAAAGTATAATACTCTTTTATAGGATTAGATTAGGAAAAGAATCCTGGTATGTTGGATTCCACGTGTCCATGTGTTTCAAGCATTGTTTTAAAATGCGGCCGCATCATGCGAGGTGCATTGCAAAACAGCACATATGCGCTTTGGTGGGATGCGCCATATGCTCCGCATCGCACCTCAAATGCAACCGCATAGTGCATCGCACCGCATATGTGCCACATCAGCATGACGAGAAAAAAAAAAATCAAAAAGGATTGTTGGCTTCAATACTTGGTACTTTGTACCTTACACTACACATTTATGTTTCTGGGATTTCTGCCCACTTTTTGCATTTTGAAGCAGCTGTTCTAATATGCAGTTTAACACTCTAAGATTAGCGAGTTTTTTATTTCACTAGCATGAATTTTACTTCGTTTATTTATGGGATGTGTCCCACATATTAGGTAGAATTTTATGGGACCAAATAATATGGATCCATCTGGTCATCATAACCACATGACCATGAGCTTATCACTCCCATCAATGGGTTGGGCAGCGATGGAGGGAAGTTGGTCCTGCCATACAATTCAATTAATGAAATTGTATGCACGTCCTTACTTTCTCTATTACCATCCAACAAGTGGTGAATAAAGCCATAGATCCTAATATTTCCATGGTCATATTGTCTGCGTAGATTCTCTGATTTTTATTGGAGAAATTTTATACAGTCAGCTAGCTAATAAAGGAAAGCTGCTGTTTAGTGTAAGAATCGAGTAACTTGCAGCTGAGCTTTGAAGGTTGTGTAAATTTTCTGGCTCATTGCATTTTTGCATGTCTGACGGTACACATTTACATACTGATCCTTACTGTTCTGCAACGTATTGCTTAACCTGGATTACCAAAGGAATTATCGATGTTCAGTTTGGTAATCCCTGTTTCTGGTATTTCTTTTCCAGCTTCAATTATTCTATCTATTCAGCAATATTTTTCTTTTTTAAAAGTATCCTATCTAATCTTTGCTTCCCTGGCATGTAGACCCGCCCTTCATCATATATCATTGGGGGGGCATTACATAAGATTGTGTCTGTTATCCATTTGTGGTATAAGCGTAATAGCATCCTTTAGTTATCTGCTTTTTTTTTTCCTTTTTTTTTTGTTTTCCTTTACTTGTATAGATGCGGCTCTCATGGTAGTGAGATGTCGTCCCCAATTGATACGAATTCTGATAAGCTCAGTTTTACTTGGTAGTCATCATTGATCGCAAGGAAGAAAAAATAACACCTTTTCTATTAACCTGAAAATTTCTTTCTTCGTGAAAGCATAGCCCCAACAAAAAAATGCTTCCTTTTTCCATGCCCATTGAATGACGTTAAGTGACTCACCCTTCCATTGGGCACTCAGGATGATTGGATATTTCAAGTCCCATAATGAGGGATTTAATTTCTACAGAGGTGAAGTTGTAGATGGTTGCCAAATAATAAAGTCTTGAGCATTCTTTCTTGATTATCTCTAAGTAGGTTGCGCACCACACTAAAACTGGTTTTCTTGAGGAGCTATCATCAAGGTTGAACTTACGAATTCTGGACTTCAGCTTCTAGCTTACCTCACTGGGCGCTATGTCTGGATTTGCTGTTTTGTTGCTAATAAATATTTAGTGAAAAACTATTGATTTCCATTTCCTTTGGGGCTTGGATCCAGTGGTAAAACACCTAATTTGCTAGAGGAATATTGAATTTTTTTATACTCTTGAATCATACCGGTCAGTAGCTCTAAAAGTCTAAATTTGTAATGTTGTCCCAATCCAGGGTCTATGAGACCATTAAAGCTCGTGTGCCCCTCATCAGCTCATATCTAGCATATAGGCTTGAAAATTTCTCTGTTTTCTTTCTCTTCTAGTGCCATAAAAGATTTCCAGAAAGTGAAGGCTCAAATGTAATTATCCTCTCTTCGGGAGATGGGGTATGCAGGAACCCATGGGGACTTCTGAAGACCTTGGCACCACCGACAAACTTCGATGTTCATCTGCACATTTCTCACCCTAGATTCCCTCCTCTTAATAATAGACACCCAATTTTATTTTTTTCCATTTGATGATCCCTATCTTTATTAGACAGTAATTCTAATGGCTGTCATACATGCCATTAACTCCATACACTTCATTGTACTATTCTTATGCATGAACGGAGTCTCTCAAGATTTTCACGTACTGTTACTATTCGGAAGAATAGCCTCCTTGAAGGCATTTGATGCGACTTGTTGACCTTAAGCACATGCCCTTTTATCATTCTTTAATAGATTCACATTCCTATGTACTTCAAATAATGCTAAAAGGTTTTAAATTTTACTTTCCATTTTGATTGGAAAGTGTTGCAGTATTTGGCTTCTTTCGGTGGAAGACTTTGTTATTTTTTTATAACTAAAATGTAAAAATTCTGAAAAATTAAGATAGATAAAGGAAAAGATAAAAAAAAGTAAAGTTTACAATTAAATAAAATTTTGGTGACTAAGTTAGATAATATAGTATTTTAAAGAAATATATAGTCATGTTCACATTCATTAACCTTATGGAAATGAGAATCATCTCCACATTCATTTGTGCTTTTTCAATTTTACTTTGCATTGACGATGTAGCATTCATTTGGATATCAATGAGGGACTTGAACCTCCTTTCTCTAGAAAAAAGAAAAAAAAGGCTTTGAACCTCCAATCATTGCGAAGGAGAAAACTAGAGCTATTATTTGAGTGACATCGATGATTAGAGCAATGTTATCAGGACCTAACCCAAAATTGATCTGGTGGTGGCACTCTTTCAATTTGTCCCGTTGAACACAATTAGTTCACTGGTCAGACTGGCCAAAAATTTAAATTTAAAATAAAAATAGAAAAACTATAAGTAAATTGGACAAATAGATAAAATAGGAAAAAATAATAAAAAAAAAACGGAAAAATTTAAAAATAATTATTCGAACTATAACACAGAAAATAACTTACAGGAAAAATTCAAAAAATCCAAATGCCCCTAACAACATTTTAAAGAACAGAAAAAAAACCACCTGGAAATGATTTAAAATGTTTAAAAACTAAAAAAATAAGGGGCTTGCCTGGAAATTCTTGCAGCACCATTGGGACTGTTCAGCTTGGTCTGGATTGGTCGAACTGGTAAGTCCAGGCGTTAACTTGACATTCGTTAATTTGATCCTAATTCCTTGGTCCACCAGTTTAGGATCTACCAGTCTGACTGATGGGCTCACTAGTTCCCAGTCTGGCTGGCCTGTCGAATCCACTCTTCATTTAACTGGATTCGAGTATTGTTCTTGTTGAAAGCTTTTATCATTGTCTTTATCTTAATTATCACCATTCCCCTGCCAATGCCACTCCTCTTGCTCATCTTTGACCACTTTCTATGGCATTCCTACTTGTACCAATGTCATATATCTCCCCTTGAGGATCTCATTATCCTCTTCAATTGATTCTTCTGTAATATCAATGTTAGAGATGTTAGGATCTGTGGTTGTTATTCACTCCTCCGTGCTTGTAGTATCAATGTTAGATACTTGTGACAAGGTGAGGGAAATGATTTTCTTGATAAATTCTGTTGCTTGAGTAAAGTAACATACTAAATCACTGATGTATCATGCTCTATTTTGCTTCTCTTCTTCGCATGGTTGCTCTTAAGTGCCATTTATGATGGGTCCCTTATTTAGAGATGGCACCATTTCTCGGCCCCAATTGAAACTGTTTTAGGGATTGTTCGTCTGCTCTAGGTTTCCATGTTTAGGTCATGTGTCTTTGCCCCAGTTTAAATTATTTTAGTGATAGCTTAGTCTGCTGTAGATTTTCATGAGTAGCTCTTGTTTCTCTGCCCTGCTCACTTTGAATATGGGGAAAAACAAAACAAACAGAAAGGGATAAAAAAAAGAAAGAAGAAAGAGTCTATCTTGAAATAATGGCAGGAGTGACTAGAATATGCGCCTTTTTTGTTCCTGATTGGAAGCCACTTCTTGACATGAAATGTTATTGACACAGAAAGGTGTGACACGGCCAAATAGAAACCTGAGGTAAAAAATCCAATAAAATAGCCTCTAACTTGCATATTTCTCTTTGAGCCCATGTATCCAAGCTTTATTCTGAATAAATTTATTACATAATTTACAAAATGTCAAAAACAAATACTCAGATCATTTTTCCCAAAATATTCTTTTCAGAAACTTTGAGTTTCATTCGTGGTTCGTTTTTCTATTATGTTCTTAGAACTTTATATTAGATTGAAGGATTATAACTTTAGATATCTAATGAGAAGTTGAAACTAAAAATATCAATATCAATGTTATCTAGACTGACATGTCATCCTAAAAGTTGATGAAACAGTGACACATCCATGTTATAAAGGAAATATAAAAGTACGTAATACATATGTGGTACTAGTTAAAGCCGGAAGAAAATTATTAATTGAAATCATGAAGATTAAAATTCTTTTATTGTATATCAATCTTTTTCCCAACACATCAGGCACTGTCCCCATCTCAATTTCAGTGCTACACTGATCATAGATGTTTGGAAATCCAGACCTTCCCTTAAGTTCCCTACATCATCTACGCCAATATTCTTATATTCTCTTTCATACTTAGTTTCCATGTGCAAAATTTCAAGTCAAATAAGCATTTTGTGGATACATTTCTCGCACTGGACATCCATCCCATTTTAGATATGCTTTAATCCTAGATGTTTTAGCCATTGTGGTGCTTGTTATTTTCTTATTGTAGTGCTCTCTCTCTCTCTCTCTC